GATGGATGGATGGATGGATGGATGGATGGATGGATGGATAGAAAAAATAGTAAAAATACTGTTGATTGTTTAGTTTTTATAAGTTTAAAAAATATTGTCCCACATCCGCACATCGCCTTATTATTTATGCTACAAAGCATTCTGGGTAAATCATTTTGGACATGATCAGACGTTCAGCCCTTTTAAGTGAGACGAGAACGTTGACAAAGAGGGGAATGTAGAAATGACTCAGCCTGAAACTGAAAATGATGATGATGGACAACAGAGCTGCTTCATGGAAGGAGAACCTTAGCTTTAACCTGTTAGCTTTTGCATTAGCTCTAAAGCTAATACTTTTAACTCAGGAACTAACTCACTGTATCAGCAGCAAAATTGAGACATGCTCAAGTAAAATATGCAATAAACATATACAATTAAAGTAATTAGATGTTTTCACATGTTAAAAACAACTTCTATTAGAAAGGAGAAACAACATATTAAGGCCAACATTTGCAACTAGTAAGAGATCCGTTTAAAGACAGGGCTCCACAACGAGCACTGAGGATCAGGCACATCTCACAATAAAAAATGAGCATATTTGGTTTGATCAAAACAACTTAAGATGCTTAAATCTCTGGCATGAAAAGGCAGCAGGTGATSTGCATTTRTTCAAGTTATCCTTGGCCTTTAGTTTCCAGTAGGTGTAACGTACACGTGAACTAAATTTATTTGTGAAGCTTTTATACATACTGTAGCTGCTAATCAGAAGCATTAACAGATGTCTGTCGACACTCACAGCTTGCTGTAAAATTATCTGATCAAATGTGATCATTGGTAAAATGAATAAATAAAATAATAATTATTTACAAGTAAAAGTTTTGACAGTGTTACAAAAACATGTCGGAGGCTGAGAGGAGAGGTTACCTGGGGACACTCTGTMTGTCCTTAGCCGTCTATTTGAAGAGACGAGCTGTAATCCGTTAACGGCCAGGTCACAGAGTCAGCTCAGGTGATGAGTCGTTCAGAAGTAGCCGTGTAAGACAGTGGCTGTTAATGGTATAAATGTGAAACTGTGGATGTTAATGGTATAAATGTGAAACAGTGGCTGTTAATGATATGAATGTGAAACTTTGGATGTTATAATGGTATAAATAGGAAACTGTGAATGTTAATGGTGTAGATGTGAAACTGTGGATGTTAATGGTATAAATAGGAAACTGTGAATGTTAATGGTATAAATGTGAAACTTTGGATGTTAATGGTATAAATGTGAAACAGTGGCTGTTAATGGTATAAATGTGAAACTTTGGATGTTAATGGTATGAATGTGAAACTGGATTTTAATGGTGTAGATGTGAATTTTACGCACCTTTTAGCTTACAGCTATAGCTTTGCTAATTTTACTTTTTTCTACAGATTTGCTATGGTTTATTTTTTCACTTTGATTTTGCTAAATTTCTCTTTCAGCAATATTTGGCTAAAATTATKTTTACCTATGGTTTAGCTACATTTAGCCTTTAGCACTGGTTTTGATAAATCTAGCTTATTATGGTTTTGATTAATGCATTTTTTTAACTATAGTTTGGCTAATTTTAGCTTTTAGCCACTTTTGACTTTCCTATGGTTTTGCACATTTTATCTGTTTTACCTGCGGTTTTGTTACATTTAGCTTTTAGAAACGGTTCTTATTTTAGCTTTTAGCTGCAGTTTTGCTCATTTCATCTTTTAGCTGTAGTTTTTTTTTTTTTTACATTTAGCTTTAAGTCAAACATCAGTTTTTATTGTTAGACAGTTGGACAGTTTTTCAGACATTTTGTTCCAGTTCTGCTGATCTTTGGCTAATCTTGCCGTGATAACCTCTCACCGGTGGTAATATTTGTTTATTTTCTTTATTTTTTGTCCTGCAGGGTTCAAAGCGTCTCCTCAGGTCAAACGAGTACGTCCTCCCTCCAAGTGGACTGATGGAGACAGATCTGGAGCTCACGTTCTCGCTACAGGTGAGTGACGCTGTTACTGTGAGTTCTCTCAGGCCTGTAAAAACAAACGAAACGACTGAAACTATATTTTATCTGAGTCCTTGTTTCTTCATTATTCTCCTCAGTACCCTCATTTCCTGAAGAGGGACGCCAACAGGCTGCAGATCATGCTGCAGAGACGGAAACGTTACAAAAACCGGACCATCCTGGGCTACAAAACCCTGGCTGTCGGAGTCATCAATATGGCCGAGGTGCGGCTCGCTTCCTTTACCGCGCTCCCGTCGGCCGTTTCTCATGAGGAACGTGGTTCTGATCGCGTTATTCTCTGACAGTGAACATAACGGCTGCRGTGTTTTGGGTACCAGGCTCCTGTGATTCATTTTCACCACCCTGTGTGTGAAATTACGGACCATCTGTCGGTTCCTTCGCTTTCCTAGAAATGGCCACGCTCAGCTGTAGATCTAATAATCTGAGTTGTATCATGAAGGATGCATGTTAGGGCATCAAAAAGCTTTATTTTATTTTTTATTTCCCCCCTCCCCTCCCCTGATCAGGCTTGTTTTTCCTACTGTTGCCGCCCACCAACGATCTGATGATTGATGGTTGGAAATTTGGCCTCGCAGAGCAGATGTGGATCAATAAAACCCTCTGTGGATAGAATCAGTTTGCTGTTTTCCTCTGGAAGAGATGGAGATAAAAGATTTAACACGTCTTCATTTCTGAACAACACAGATGATGTCGCTCCTTTTCTAATCACGGCAGCAGATGCGTTCTTTCTCAGCCGAAGTTATTTTCCTCCGGAGGCCTCGGGACAGGAATTGATTGACGTCTGAAAATAAAAGTAACACTGTTGTGTTTTAGAACGACTGCTGCGTGGAGAAACAACCCACATTCCTCTTTGTGGGGGTGAAAAAAATAAAACGGCTAAATTGGCCATTATTGCGTCCTGCTGGGTAATTGTCATCGGGTGTAAACTCTGAAACGAATCGAAGAGTCGTGTGGGAGGAAGTCACTGTCGGGGCGTTCGAGTGCACCCCCTGCCAGCGTCGGAGCYAAACGAGCTGAAATATTCAAAGTACCCCTCAGACAGAGATTYCTGCGAAACCTCTTCCTGTCTAATTCTAAACAGATTAACTGTTTCACTGATATGATGTGTGCAGATCGGCTCGGCTCGTTACAGAAGCTAAAAGATTTATTTACAGAAACTGCAGCTGTTTTAATCACAGACGAGCAGCAGAAGCTGTTTGAATCTCATTTAAATTAAAAAATGGCTTCAAATAGAAACGATTCTTTTCTGTTTGTTTAAAAAAAAAAGCTTAATCCAGAGTCTCATTTAGCTGCAATTGTTGAAAACTTGTTGGAGATTAAAAACTYAGAATAATGTGAGAAAATAGAAAAAAGCTAACAGAAAATAAAATTGTTTGTTTGTGACGTGGCAAAAAAAAAATACATTTGTCATAGGAAACTATAAAAATTCTAATTTTCTGCTGTTAAAACTAAAATAAGCAGAACACTAGCTGAAAGCTAAAAGAAGGAAAACATTAGCGGAGAGTTAAGAATAGCAGAAGGCTAATGAAAAGTTTGAAATGGTCAGTAGTAACGCAGTGCTAGCTAAAAGTACAGTAGCTAAGGATTGGCTAAAACCTAAAAGAAGCAAAAGACTAAATGAAGCAAAACGCTAGCTGAAAGCAAAAAGTTGCAAAAGACRAGTTCTAGTTTTATAAAATGAGCTAAAACCTAAAAATGGCAAAACTAGCAGAAGACTAGGAGTAGCTAGCTAAAAGTTAGAATTGAGAAAAGGCCAGCTAAACTCAATAGATAGTTGTAGCACAATTTTAGCTAAAAGTAGCTAAACACCAGCTAAAACCTAAAAGAAGCCAATGGCTAACAGAGGTGGGGGCCTCCGTTTTCAGCTGTCCCCCTGCTACAGCGCTGCCATTGGCAGTATCACTCCACCCCCTGTTAACAATAGGTATTAATTAGGTGTGAACGATAGCCATGTGATGTGAGTATCAGTCACCTGGAGGCAGGGCTTAAAAGCCTGAATTTTGCCTGAAACTCTCAGACTGAAGAAGTCTCTTGGAAGAGAGACGAAACTTTTCATTAAAGAAGAACCCGTCCAGAGGACCTATACAATTTTTTTTCCTTTGATTTTTTTTACCTGGATTACTGAGATGCATCAGGACAAACCAGTTAAGAGAAAAAGATACTATTGTCCTGATGCATCTCAGTAATCCAGGTAAAAAAATCAAAAGGAAAAAAATTCTTCTTCAGTCTGAGAGTTTCAGGCAAAATTCAGGCTTTTGAGCCCTGCCTCCAGGTGACTGATACTCACATCACATCACATGGCTATTGTTCACAGGTGACTGATACTCACATCACATCACATGGCTATTGTTCACAGGTGACCGATACTCACATCACATGGCTATCGTTCAC